CCTGCCTTCGCCCTAAGTCGGCTGGGATAGGCTCCAGCCCCCCCCCCCGCGACCCTAATGAGGATTAAGCGGTGTATAGAAAATGGATGGATGGATGGATGGTTTTCAAAGCTGTCAGGATTTGTTCCAGTAAATCAGTTTTTATTGCACTTTGTTGCATTTTGCATTTATGAATGCCAATAAATGTTCTTTTTTTGGATCAAATGTGAGATCCACATAAAATCTTGTTGTGAAGTGGAAATCTGGGCAAACATTGGCTAACTTTTGGATCTTAGCAGAGTTTGCAAGTCTAAATTCGCTGCACGTCAAAGCAACTTAATAAGATCAATGTTGGGGTTAACAACGGAAATCACAAATGGTGGGTAACAAATTTATGTTGGCTTTTTGGATTGAAGGAAGTCAGTAGTGTGGATCGACGTCCTTATATACACAATTATGAAGTGCTGCCGTTAGTGTCGCACCAGTGAAGCTGAATCCTTGGATTCTCCCTCCATCCACCCTGAGGCTTGAAACTTAGATGCTGTTTCCAATAATATGTCCTAAACCAATTATACTTTTTCAAAAGAACATCATAACTGCTGCAAAACTTTTAAATATGTACTTTATGTTCCCTGAGTACAGGGTAAATAAGTCAGCCAGAAAGTTGTACTAGGAAGGAAATAATAGCTGTTCAAAGTGGCAAATTTTTATATTTATGCTCAGTCAGACCAAAAATTAACTTTTAAATTGACTGTTCTTTTTTTTTTTTTTTTGAAGCACTGTTTTTGCCCTGATAGATGCTGTTTTGTGTGACTCCCAGTTTCCCCAAATCTCTACGCCATACGGCTGGGGCGTGACCCATAAAGCCACAACAGCCTCATTAATAACAAACACACCTAATGTGAAACAAACCAGAATTTTGTTTTCATGAATGGTTCCCTACCTCTTTATTGTAGTGACCTTAGCTTCATTTCTTAAAAACTGTAGACTATTTCACTCTCCTCTCATCTCCACTTGTTAATTTCCTCACTCTCTCAGAACTCCTGCCATCTTATGTAATCTTTATATCCTTAATGTCTCTCTCCGGCTTTGTAGCTTAATCTCCAACTTCCTCCTTCTCTCCAACTTCAATCAGATGGACAGAATCTGGTCAGTCACTTCAAAATGTAGCTCTAAACTTCCCTTGCATATTGCAGACCATAAAATAACAATTATAGAGAATGAAATTCTTCAAGTTGTAGTAAAACTCTGTTGGTTGTCCGTGCAGAGAAAAGTCAGATTTGATTTGCCCTTTTCAGGCAGCTAAGGATTAGAATTGTATCACACTGACTTCCAAAGTTGATATTCCTCTTCAGTATGTGTCTATTTATTCCCAGCAGATGTAACATTTATTTTCTCCGTCCTCTTGATGGCTGTGACAGCATTAATAAAGACAGACACTGATGGGAAGCCTACAAGGCAAACTTGGAAATAAAACTTCAATAGTCTGCTGCTGGAAGTGTTTCTTGTAGTAGACCAGCAGGGCCTAAACTGAGCTTTATTAGCTTAGTGTAACAAATGCTCACTCAGTGTTTAACGGCTTTGTAGCCAAACACTAAACTATATAAAGATCCATCCATTATCTGTACACTGCTTAATCCTCACTATGGTTGGTGGGGGGGTGGAGCCTAACCCAGCCGACTTAGGGCGAAGGCAGGGGACACCCTGGACAGGTCGCCAGTCTATCGCAGGGCCACACTTAGAGACAACCAAGCACACTCGACATAAAATTATTTGGTGATATGACATCGCAGCCTATAAACTGTTAATGAGCAAACAAACACATTTTATCCAAGATATGTAGTTATACCTGCCTCTCGTTTCTCATAAACCATATCAGAATTAACTATGGTTTATTATCAAGTTGTGCAAAAATACTGTATTTTATTTTTTTAACTGCTTTGCATAGTAAGTTCTATCTGTCAAATACTAAAACTAATCTAAACAAAAAAGAAAATTAGCCCATTTTGTTTGTTTTTCCAGTCTTGATTAACAATGAAAATTAAATGGGACAAAATGGAAAAACTCTTTTTTTTGGTTTGTTTGTTTGTTTGTTTTTTTAATTTCGGGAAATCCCAGTTTTATGTTTTTCTGATTTAAAGCTAAAACAAGAGAACAGACTCTTCTTTCATTTTTGCAGTGTCCTTTAACGAGCGGCTGAAGCCCAATCGGCTGGACATCTTGACTCTGGATGGTAAACCTGGCATCCTGTTAACACTATAGTTTCACAGTGAAACAAGCAGTTTTCAAATACAACGGCTGTGGTTAAGATGGATGTTAATGTCATATGTTGTGTTTTATTTGAATAAAAAAATATGGAACTGGTGTAACAGCTTCCACAATATCAATTAAGGTCCCTTAACTACAGTGATATCACTATATATCTGTTAACAAGCTAATTTTAAACTGCATTCACCTAATTATTCACAAAGTACCTTATTTTCCGAACAGTAAAGTTCTCGCACATTTTAGTTTAACGCTCCATTAAACTTTTCCATTAACTTGTGGTCTTCACTTCTACGAGAAATCTTTAAAAAATAGTTTTGTTCACTCTGCTTCACTGGATTTTAAATGTTAATGGACGGTGGAAACATGAAACATTTTTAGGGTGATGTTAGAAATAAAACATGAGCAGTGTTTTCTGTTTTGTTACATTTACTTTTCTGTGTTAATGGACACTAGGAAATTGGAAAAATGGGTTTGTTCCCTTGTTGTTTTTTCATTTTTGGTTTCAGTGAAAAACTGGATAACGTTAAACCAAAAAAAAAAACAAAAAAACAAGAGAGCTTAAGAACATTTTAAAGGCAAATGTTCTTGATGCAGACAAACTTTAAGGTTTAGGGTGTTTTAGGTAAAAATGTATCGTTGTTTCTGGTATTAATATATTAATCCATTTACAATCTCACTAATGTCATAAAAAGGGCTGCAAGATGGATTGGTGGTTAGCACCATCGCCTCGCAGCTAGAAGGTCGTTGGTTCGCGTCCAGGTGAGGACACCTGGGATCTTTCTGCATGGCGTTTCAAGGATTCAAGGATTCAAGGCCTTCATTGGTCACACACACAGTTATACACAGATAGCGGGCAGTGAAATGCTTTGTACACCTGTTCCACAACGAAACAATATTAAAATGAATAAAAATAAAGAATAAAACACACAGTTTGCATGTTCTCCCCATGCAGCATGGGTTGTCTCTGGGTTCTCCGGCTTCCTCCGGCTTTTATTTTATTCATGTTTTTGGATGCTTGCTCTGAGAATACAAGCTGTTTTGCAGCCATCATTACTTAACTTTACCAAGCTGGACATTAATGTCACAATTCTCCATCCACCTATCTGTGTACAAAACACTGAATTTAAAAAATGATGTTCTGAAAAAGGGCTGCAAGGTCGCACGTGGTTTACACCATTGCCTTGCAGCAAGAAGGTCGCTGGTTCGCGTCCCGGTGAGGACACCACCTTTCTGCGTGGAGTTTGCTTGTTCTCCTCATGTAGCGCGGGTTCTCTCCGGGTTGTCCGGCTTCCTCCCACAAGGTCTAAAAACATGTTGAGGTTAATTGATGATTCTAAATTGTCCATAGATCTGAATATGAGTGTGCATGGTTGTCTGTCTCTAAGTGTGGCCCTGTGATGGACTAGTGACCTGTCCAGGGTGTCCCCTGCCTTTGCCTTATGTCAGCTGGGATAGGCTCCAGGCCCTCGCGACCCTAGTGAGGATTAAGCAGTGTATAGATAATAGATGGATGGATGTATGGATGGATGGACTCATGAAAAAAGACTCCATAAAATCCAATTAGCACTCAGACTGGAGTCTCCGTAGTGTTGTTCAACATTAATATAAATCCCTACAATAAAAACTAATTGAGGAAATGATCTACACTTTGCTTGAGGTTTCCACCAGCACCAGATAAGACACTAAAGAAATACTGACAAAAACACTCCCTCAATATTGCCCCCATCAATGCTTCAAATATTCACTAAAGAAATCAATGACAATTAACAAACATAGGAAAAAATTTTTAAGTTTCATTCTAAAGTTTGAAATGCCTTAACCTGGTAAAACATTTCTATGTAATATGCTACATATTTATGCCTAACTGTAAGCTAATCATACCACAAGTAACTACTCCTTTCTCTCTTTTCGTGTCTTCTGTGTTCTCGCAGTGACCTGTACGACTTCTACCACTACTTCTACATGCTCACAAACGCCCTGTTCTACGTCAGCTCCGCCATCAATCCCATCCTCTACAACCTGGTATCAGCAACCTACCGCCAGATCTTCTTCTCCACGCTGCGCTACTTTTGTGTCCCCTGCCGCCATGCGCCCCGGAGGCATCCGCATCCATTGACCCGCCACTCCATCAGCATCTCCAGCAACCACACCCTCCCCACCAACATCATCAAGGAGACGGCCTACTGATCCAACACTCTTTTTTTCTCATACCACAAGCCGATCCACTGCCGCTTTGTGATTACCTGGTCCAACTTCACCGAGGGAATTCTGCTATTGGGTTGGAGACTGTTTGCGCTGGCATCTAGCACTGTGGTAACCATCATTGTCACGTGAGGTCAAGTGGCCGCTCAGACCCCACTGGAATTCATTTCAGATGCACATTTTCTCATGTCTTATCGTGTCTTTATCCAACATGAGTTTGTGAAATAAAAAAAGAAAGCATGATACAGGAAGAGGGAAAAAAGAAGGACATAAACAGAGTTAATCTTTAAAATAGATGGATATTGATGTAAATATTTTATACAATATGTTTCTATGTACATGGTTTTATTGGACCAATCATTCGCATTCATTTATTGTTGTACAGTGTAAATGACTACTCTTTCAGTGTTCTTAAACGTCAACTTGTAAAACTCTCAAAAGTACTTTCTCAAAAAAAAAAGTGGCCTCTGGCAATACTTTCAGCACAAAAAAACAGTCATGATGTAACCCTCCTTTGTGCTATTTTGGGTGAATATCTGTGGCTAAACCTGCCTTTTATGTTAGAAAAAAAAACTGAAAGAAGCAGGCATTTCTCTTAAATCAAAGCTGCACTGACAGCTGTACAGGAAAAAACTCTTGTAGCACGACCTCTTACTTCTCTTGTGTGTCTTGGATTAGATGCAGGCAGCTCTTCAGAGAAACTTTTGTTGAACAGAGAGTGAGTTCAGATAATAGAGCGTCCTTGTCACATTGTATAGGCTACGATGCCCATTGAATACTCCAAAGAGAAAATATGCTTGTCTCTGGTAATACTTTGCATTGTTCACGACAGCCTTGAGAAAAAGTGCCCCCTCCCCCTAGAACAGAAGTGGGTGTAATTGATTATTTAAAGTATTTGTACATAACAGCAGCATCCTTTGGGAGTGACACTCAGTCACAAGCATTGCTCACCTGGAGAAAGGAGCACCGTAATGCTTTTCCACCAGCTGCTACAGAGGGCTCAGGTACTGAAGTTTTTCTATAGAAGAAACACAAAGATGTGGAAACAATCTGGACTGTTCTTCAGCCAAAGCACACAGGAGCTGCTACAGAGGACTACAGAAATGCAATGAACATCACCTTTCCGTGAGTCAGCAACAGCATGTTGAAAGGCCAAGAGAATGGAGCTTGTGCCATGGCTATGTTGGGTAGCACAAAGGCTTTGTTTTTAATATAAAATATTGACTCAAAGCGTGCTTGCTTACATCATTATAAAAATGTTTTGTTTTGATAATCAGAACTGTGCTGTAATTGTTATGTGCAGACACTGTAGAAAGCAAGGTTTCTGAAAGCATTATCAATGGACCTAAAAAAACAAACAAAAAAACAAAACAATTGAATGCAGTCAGGAGCTTTGCAGAAACCTTCAATATCTACACTGATGTTTAATATTGGTTTGGCATCAAAACTATGTGATTTTACTTTTTACCTACTTAGTGTTGCCATGTCATAATATCAAGTCCATCCTGTTGACACTAAGAAAGTATTTAATCATTCACATAAAGTGCCACTGAGAACACCTAGTAGTACTGATATCTATTGTTTTGGTAAGCTAAACTGGCTCCTGTCAAGTACTTGCCACCATGATTGAGCAGCTGTTTTTCATTTAATGGATCATCAGAATTGTATTCATAGAAACTGGCCTAGTTTTCCTCCAAAAACAACTGCCCTACAGGTGCTTGCTGGTGCATGCTCCATACATGCTATCTTATTTGCATGTAACTCACAGTTTGCATTGCTTGTTGATTCTTTTGTGCATAAACCACTTTGTCATAAACACATGGTATCAGTAAATCAGCAGCACTTACGCATTTTGTTTGTAAGACGTTTACAGCTCATACTATGGTGTTGCTTCTTTACAAGAGAAGCCGTAATCCACTGATTTCAATCTGCTGCCAGCGGAAATCAATGAATTTCATTATCAAAGTCTGTAGTCATGGTACAGCATCAGGGCCACAGCACTGAATACTTGGACTACCTATTCCTACTTTTTCATTTTCATCTCACAGCTTTTTTGTGTTTACAAAGAAACACCAAAGGTTCACACTGCCTGCTAACATTTGTTTAAAGAAAAAAGAAAAAAAATCACCAAACACAGTGTGCAGCTGAAGCAGAAAGAAATATCATTAGATTTGCAAACGTTTTATTGTAAGCCAAAGCAGTGGACAAACATAAAGCTTGTTTTTATGATGATGATGATGATGATGATGATGATATAAGAAAAGACAAGGGTCTCCAAAGTATGTGCATTTCAACCTGAGGACAATATTTGCTTAAAACAGCCCATTGATAAACCTCATAGTCACTAAAGGTGTTAGGATAATCTGGAAACCATGAATGTTTAAATCTGGTGCTATCTATTTAATTAATGTCCTGAAAATTCAGAGTTCAAGTCAAAGTCATGGGATCATCAAAATCGTTACGATTCGTCCTCTGGGAGCCATGTACTAAATGTTATGTAAAAAAGCATTATGTAAAAGCGCAGCGATCACTAAAACCAGTAGGATTTCCCCACTGGGGACAAATTGCCAAATGCTATGGAAATCTGAAATCTGACATTTCACATAATATAGAAATATGAACCTCATGGTGGCACCAGAAGAAAACTTAGATGATGACTAAAGCCGGACAAACAGTTCAGATTAGATATAGGAGTCATTGTGTGGGGACCATGAATGTTTCTACTAAATATAATAGGACAGTACTTGCTTGGAGTGAAAAGATAGAGCCTTGCTGCTAGCATGGCTAATAATGGAAAAAAGGAAGAAAAAAGATTAGCAATGTATGTGTATTTAGTATAACTTAATTTGCATACATCTAGTTTAGCCACTAAACCTACATTGCATTGCACTGCGTGCTAGTCTTTAATAACTACCTGACACTGCTATCACCTTCTCAGTGTGCATCACAGCAGTGAAATGAAAACAAGCTCAACATGCGTGTAATGTTTTTATGATACCACATAATATATTGTACTTAGATATTAATGGTGACAGTTACTTGCTGTGCTTTGTATTGGTCTATATGTCTCTGTGTTCCTGTGCAGTGTCTGCATTTATATATGACGTTATTTGTGCTCTGTTAGAACCTCGCTGTCAAACATCAGACTCCATAACCCACGGGTTTAGCACACAGCCGCACTGAATGAAATACATGAAAAAAGCACTGTAAGTCCCTTTAAATTTACAACGCATTCAAACTGCACATACAAGTGGGCGGCTGCCGTCTGGACTTTTGCAGTACAGAGCTGTACATGAATGTTTTGTAACACAGTGGAATGTTTTGCTTATGTTACTTGACAACTGAGATCTGCCATTGTATATCACATTTCTCTAAAAGAATGTTTCCTTTCATCAGCAGAAATAATAAAGAATGACTTTATATTAATACATATGTATATTTGGTCAGATTTTGCTGTACAGAATGTCTTGTCTTGTTCATCCTGTCACACAGTCTCTCTCACAGAAATGCAAAGATATACAAACAATGAGCTCACACACAAACGCACCACTTAGCAGCACAGTGTCTGACCTTTTTCTGAAGTATACTCAAGGCAATTAATAGCCGTAGGCTTGAAAAAAAGAAATGCCACTCACAAAGCAAATGCAAGCCCTGTGTCTTACTAAAGCTCCCAGCTGAGGAACAACATGAGACATCAGTGTAGGCTCCTCTGTGAAGCAGGTAATCAAACCCCACATCAGAGCCCACAGTCTGTGGCTTGTGTTTGTTGGGATTTTCAGTAAGGGTTAGAAATATAAGACAATATGAGGACTTCTCCGATATTCAAAGAGCAGCGGTAAGCTTTGCCAGGAAATAAAAGCAGAGTAAAGCACGCAAGAGATGTTTGTTCTCACTGTCGATTTAAGGGCTTATTAGCTGGGAGCTTCCAGTTTTCCATGTTATTACTGTGCTTGGTTGCCGGAACGTAGCTGGTAGTTATCATGTGTTCCACGGCACACATGCGATTGAGAGTAGAGTGCATGTTGCCTAGCAACAGCAAAAACACCTGTGTCTGTGAAAAAACGGCTCCACGTGATGGGGATCTGAGCTGGAGGCAAGAAAAGCGATGCGGTGAATCTCACATCAAGTTCTTCAGAAATTCTCTGTCATCCTAATACTTCTCTGCCACAGAAGGAAAATAAATTGCTCTAAAAAGCCTTGAACACTCCCAAACACACTGGCTTCAGCATGTTCGCTCCCAACGAGGGAAACCTGCAGGTGCTGTCTTAAATATTTTCAGGATAATATTTTATTAAGTTGTAATAACCCTCTCAACCCCAAAAGGTTTGAAAGGGATCTTATCTTTTTACAACACTGTGAAAAAATTTCACCTCTCATAAGAGAGAGATTTATTTATTTATTTATCTATTTATTTATTTATTTATTGTACCATTCCAATCGTCCTAATTAATAAAATTAGCAAAACCTAATTATCTTAAAATCATGATATTTAAAGTCCTTTTATTCTAGTCTACTTTAAACATTTACCAAAAAAATTGCAAATTGTAGTAGATTCCACAAAAAATAGCAAAATCTGCACTTACTGGCAACACTTTGAAGCAAGTAGTGATTCAGCTGCAAGCAACAGTTATATGACTACAGATCAGGGACTTTTCAGCTGAACTGGGTTGAACTGCAGGTTGTGTCTACAAATTGTCTCTAACAAATTAAAAATTGAAGTAGTAAAAGATCTATAGTAAACAGAGTTCCCTCTATATTTTTGAATCGGTAACACCTGTGGGCACTTCAAAACATTTTTACAATGTTGTAAAATATATATATATACATATCAGTGACGTGTGGTCAGGGGAGGCAGGTGAGCATCATGAAAAGGAAAAAAAATATAAAGATAAAATAACTTAAATGGTTATATTTATCCAGTGATTTGTGCTATAAAGTATTATTTTTTCATTTAGTCACACCAATTTTGATGATTTTTTTTTCAATTCAAAATCGCAAAATTTTGGCCATTTCCCATTGGACTGCTTGGAAGAGAAGCCGGTGAGGCAGCAGCGAGCTGAGCCTCACCTTGGATTGCGCAATCCCTCGCTAACTGCGCTGGCTGCCATGCAGTAACAGCGTGCTGCTGTCTGTATGTCACCAATAAAATGGTTCAAACACATTTAATATATGAACTGATTTCCCATAGTTGATGTATAATGTATAGTGTTCCTTTGTTACCAACTGCATGTGTGTAAAGTGTTTCGTGTGCTGAGCGATCATAAATGGCTGAGAAGAGGTTCTTGGTGAGGTCGGCAGTTCTCTTGCCTCATGGCATGGAGCACTTGTGATCCTAGACATTCTTCTTGTGACTGCAGAGTAAGTGACAGCAAGCTAGACTGGGTACTACGGTGGCCGACAGGGGCAAATGACGTGCATATACACAAACCGTCATGTCCGTCAAGTTTCTGCTTATGTGTGCACATTTTATGTCTTGTCTTTCCTGTTTTATTTTGAAAACACTAAACCTCTGTCTCAGGTTTACTTCCTGCATGCCCTGCCCCCCTCTCGTCACACCTGCTCCCTGATGGTTTTCTCTCACCTGTTTCCCGATCTTCCCTCATTACCTCGTGTATAATACCCTGTGAGTCTCACAGTCTTGTTGCCAGTTTGTTGTACTTCACAGTCCTCATCCCAGCGTTCTTCATAGTCAAATCACAGTCATAGTCTGTTTGTGTACGACTTTGTTTCTGTTTTTCGACCTTGCCTTTTTGCCTCTCGTTTCTAGATTCCCCTGCCCATCTTATTGATCACCTGTTTACCGAACCCTGCCTGGTATTAAACCTGCCTTTCTGCCTGAACCCATATATGTCATGCATTTGTGTCCACCTATTCTGTTCCGATTGAGTTCTTGACACAAAGGAGCTGCATATACATGAATGTGTTGCAAATGTGCTGCAAAAAGAAAATGCTGCATATCCACTCATACAATGGAAGTGCCCCAGTTCTCTAGGGGCAGTAGTGAGCTTGTCACCTGAGAGGCAGACAATGGTGAGCGAGACAAGTAATGTTATTTGAGGGAAAAGATAACCCAGTCTCATCTGGATCTCATCTTTATAGTGATCTTTGTAGTTATTAGGGTGGACGCCATAACAGAAAAACTGGTTAATGCCTGACTGTCGAAAGAAAAGAATGACAAAACATCACTATATGCGCTGTCTCATGGGGAAAATAAACGTGTCCCAGACACGACAGATAATTCCAATTTAAATGTGCTGGTTTGAAGTTCGTGCTGGGGAACACGGAAAAGTTGGGCAAATCGCATCATAGGACACGAAACAATAGATTAAGTTTCGTGACTATTTCACGAATTGCCGTGAGACTGGGTTGGCTTTTCCCTCAACTGACGTTACTTGTCTGCCTCTCAGGTGAAAAGCTCACAACTGCCTGGAGCCTGGGGCACTTCCGTCGTGTGAGTGAATATGCAGTGTTTTCTTTTTGCAGCGCGCTTCTATGTTTGCAGCGTTTTCTTTTTACAGCATTTCTGTTTATGCAACGCATTCAAGTATATGCAGCTCGTTTGTGTATATACATGTCATTTGCCCCGTCGGTCACGATAAAGTACGATATACAGTTAGCAAGTCAAGTGCAGTGATCCATTTATTTTTTTGCCCTCTCGCCCAGTCTGACTTTCAACATGGAGGACTATCTTTCTAAGCTTAAACAATTCCCTAAAGTGGAGTTTCAAAGTAATGGATATTTCTGTGCAGAAGGAGGGGCGCGTGGACTTCATTTATAAGTACAGATAAGACAGCAATAAGGTTTTTTTTTTTTTGTTTTTTTTTTAATGAACTGTACGTTTTGTGGGCTACAGTTTGTATGTGTAGAGAATGCAGATATGAAACATAACTCATAAACTGCTGCCAATCAAATGGCAAATGAGCTACTCTATAGAGTGCATATATTTGTAAGTCTGATTCTGATGAATTAAGTGCCTCACCAGCCATGAACCTCACCGCTTGTCACTGATATATATATATATACATATATGTGTGTGTGTTCCTTTTTGTATGATTTATTTTATTTATTTTGTTGCATACAGGACATTTTTTAAGTTCTCTATGCTTCTTGCCATGGTTGTGCTGTTTTCATAGAGGTGCAAGACTTTTTATTACAGTGAAAAGTGAGCCCAAAGTGAGTAAAGACGTGACAGGAAAAAAAAAAAGCCCAGAAACTGCTTGAAGCTCAGCGAATTAAATCCTGTCAGTTACTTGGTTAGATGTATAGTGTGCATAATGTACCAGAGCAAAAGTGAAGTCATCACCGCAATGACATAACGTGTATGTCTAGGGTAGAGTGTTAACTGATACTAAATCAGTTGCGTTTTCAACAATTTACACAAAAGGAAGTTTCAAAGTCCTGTACAAATACAGTCAAGAGTGTGAAAACACACTTCAACGGACTGAACAAAGGAAAAATTAATTATGTGCAAATTAAGCGGAAATCTTCTGATGGGGTAAAATTAATGAACTAATAACTGAAAAAAGAAGATGCTGATATAACGTGAGAAGATAGAAGAGGATGTTGGGTTGCATGGCTGTAGTTAAAGGTTTTGAATATGAAAGGTAGGTCTGGTCGGAAGAACTGGTTTTATTGTAAAACAGAAATCTGGTAAGTGGCCTCACACATGCACATGCACACGTACCTCGTATGTTATGCTGCAAAAAGACTGCTGGGACTAAAGCTTTATATGCCAGGCAAAAGGTCACCATCCTTACTGCCTGTAAGAAGGCATGGAAATAAAGAATCCTTCCCATGTTGGAGCTCACTCCTCCTCATGGGCTTTGCTTTCCTTTGTTTGTTTTTCCACATATTAACCCTAAGTTCTAAATACTTTTTGTTTTAAATCAGTATATACTGCAGCTGCCCTTACAAAATATGCACTGCTGCATGCAGTTTTCATACTATTGGGACATGCTACTTTGTCATAGTGAATGATTTGGGATGCAGGGTCATCTGTATGTGCTCTCCCTGCGGTTCAAGCCTGGTTATACTCACGCAATCTTCTGCTACACAGAGGACTGCGGGGTCAAAATGGCCAGAAATGGCCTGCGAACTGCAGAATGAGACAGGATAGAGTTTTACATCCTGGTCTTTTTCACATACTACAGTTGTGTACAAAAGTTAACATCCACTTGTAGAGACCATGTATATCATGCAGTCTTTAGTTTCCAATGACTCCCATACCTCAGAATTTTCTTTGATGGAATCATTGAAACACATATGTCTTTGTCACAAAAAGCAAACAAACAAAAAAACAATCATGTATCTTTCTGCATGGAGTTTGCATGTTCTCCCCATGCAGCATGGGTTGTCTGTAGCCCTGCGATATTCTGGCGACCTATCCAGGATGTCTTCTGTCTTCGGCCTAAGTCATCTGGGATAGGCTTGCTGCTAAACTACTTCAATCAAGTATTAAGTGAAGCATCTCAATACTTAATGTAATGCGTTATTAGAAACATTTATGTCTAATAAATTTACCAAACACTGCTAATATTGTGGAGTATTGTGTGTAAATTGATGTGAAAAGTCAGAAACCCAACAGAATGTGGAAAACTCGAGAGACGCTGAAAACTGTATATATTTTACAATAACCAACTCTCATGCAGTCGTCCTCAAATGTATTCATACCCTTCCATTAAAGCAAAGGCAAAATTCACAGTAGTCACTCAAATAACTAGAAGCTGAGAAAAAGTTATAATAAATACAAATTTGCTAAATTATAATTTAGTGAAATAAGACATTGCTTTTGAATTGTGGTTGAAAAGATTAGTTTTTAAAAAACAAAAAACTATCCTGGACAAATTAGAGCACTCTGCTGATGAGCAGTGGGCCAAAATCAAAATACCTGTCAAGAGGCACAGAAGTCTGATTGACAGTTACAGAAAACACTTGATTGCAGTGATTGCCTCAAAGTGTTGCTCAACAAAATATTAGTTTACGGGTCCTATCATGCTTGTTAGTGGCACGGGCT